CATAAATTTGAATAATTTAATTTATTTTCTAGTAAGTAACTAAAAGTATAGGGCCAATCTCACCCATACGGACACGTTAGGCTCAATTAATTTATGTTCTCCTACATTATAAGATGAAAGTAAAATAAAGCGTTTCATTGGGAGTTTTAATGATTACGAAAAAGAATACTATTTTATTTCTAAAGATGAAATAAAAAATAAACTAAAGTGCGATGAATGATATTTACTTTCAGCGAGTGCTCCGCTGTTCAATGATGCGCAAACACAATACATAGATATTACATGAACTAACAAGTAGAGACTTGTAAAACATAGGTAAATAATATGCAGCATGAAACCTCAAAAATTCTCTCTTAGGCGAGTCTTCAAGATGAAACTTTTCGTATAATAAATAATAGAAAGAAAACCTGACATGATAAATTATTATTGAAATGCGAGATTTCCCGGAAAAATAAAATTTCCCGGGATCTTTCTCGTAGGGACTAAACGGCGGGAATCCCGGGAAAGAAACCCTACTGCACACTCTTGTTCACTGCAGCAATGTTTTCTGCAGACCTCACATTTCAATAATGTACAGATGTTGTTTGATTGTTTACTAAACCAGCTGATTCAAATTTGTCCAACAAACAACAGTCGACTCAACAGGATGATTGTGTACACCGTAAAAATCACATAGCGCACAGAATGTAGCTTGAACTGAGCACTCATTTTGATAGTAAAGTTTAATGATTTGCACACGTTGCTCAACACTGTAATTTTCCATGATGATCTGCCTAACATTAATTACTCCAACCTCCAAATTTGACAGCTGTAGCTTCACTAGCATGGCCACTATACACAGTCAAAGTTCAAGCACCCCTAGTGGAAAACCCTGTATATGTAGATTTTAATTAATGACCAAGCAGAAGTTCCATTTTAAAAATTTGAAATCATACTATTTGTACAAAAACATAAGTGTAAAAGCTTGTCAAAATTAGAATGAAAACAAGTTTTAATATTGTTCAAACATGTGATTTCTTTTAAATTTGCCTATTTATGGAATTTAATTGTCAAACTTGTCTTGTTTTTACTTATATTTGGAATATATAATTAATAATAGAAATAGAAACCTATTCTAAACTAAATAAATTTCCTATTAGTTTTAAGTAAAACAAATTACTTAATTTAAAAATGACTTTCAGAAATTAATGTTTTTTCTTTAATTTAAAAATATTGAAAAGCCCAGGTTGAATATTCTGAATATTTTGTCAAAATTATTTTGAAAATACTTACTGCATGACTGATATTTAATAAAAATAAAGGTTTGATATTGCTTGTATCCTCTCCATTTCTTTGTGCCTGAAAAAAATAAGTATTGAATAACGTGAACTCTAAACATTCATTTATATGTTGCATGAAACAATAATAAAAGAATGAAATTAATAACATTATTATATTTTAGTATTTTTGAAAAAAAATTGTTTCTGGTAACCATTATAATTATATATATTATATTATACAGATATGAAAATAAATGGAATTATTATTTGTATTTTTAAAATTCAATTGTACAACAAAAAATATAAAATTTCACTAATATTTAAAAATCAATTTTTATATACTAATATATTTTTTGCTAAAGCTTTTATTATAAAAGTCATTAGTTTGTTTTATGAATGACTTTCATTAATACAATATTTGAAAATTTTATTTCATTATTTAGTTTACTATTAACTTTCATAATAATTTTCTAATAAAACTAATGTAATTCATCAATTATATGACACAACATGCATTAAAAGAAATTATATGCAAGTCTATAAAATACACATTTGTGACTAATTTGATAATACAGTGCTGGAAATAATTATAAAGCCACTTTGTTTTCCTGCTATAAAACAAACAATTGATATGATTTAGATTTTAATGTTTATAGTTGTTAATATGTTTAACAATTATTGATAAAATACTACAAAAGAAAAATAAATCTTTGTTTTATCTAATTTACAAAAATAACTGTTACCATGACAAAACCAGTGGAAATAAATATAAGGTCATCTAACAGTCAAATTAAGGTCTGGACTATAAGCTGGCTAATTGAGTACATGAAAATTTCTCATTAAAGCCATCATCATCTAAAAGTACACACATATATTGCAGCATTATCTTGCTGAAATATGAAATCTTCACCAACAATATTTTCAGCATAGTCCACAAAACAATCTTTAAGTAAAATTCTGTATACATCTGAAAGTTCATATAGACCAGTGTTTCTCAACAGGGTCGATATCGCCCCCATGTGGGCGTTTTTCCATGTTGAGGGGCGATTAGTAACAATTTATATTTTGGGGGGCAAAAAACAATTTTCTGGGCAATATAGTAAAACATTATATTAAAAATAATTAGATATTTTATTCGTTATATCGTACAATAATTAAACAGAAAACATTATACTAGTCACTAGTCTATTCAATGCAGTATGAATTTGGCCCTCGGCATCGTAATTTTGTAGTGAAGGGGGCGATACTACATAATGGTTTTATTGATGGGGCAATACTATGTTGAAGGGGGCGACGATTCGTTAGAGGTTGAGAAACACTGATGTAGACCATTATATAAACCAAAAGCACTTTGCCAGTGAAAGGAAAAGCATCCCATACTATCACTGTACCTCCACAAAAATTGCATTTCATAAGAATTTCACTTTTGTGACACAAATCATACCAGTAATATTAATAGCCATGTGGGCCATCTAAATTCATCTTCTCACCAGTTAACAATATTTTCTTCTACTCTTGGTCAAAAGTATACTTTTTAGCAAAGTCTCCTTTGTACTTTTGTGCTGCTTTGGTAAGTCTTGGTTTCTTCACATTTTGTACAACAAGCATTATCATTTGATTGCAAAATTTGATACACACATCCAGATAATACTTCCAGATTTAAATAAGCCCAAATTTGAGATGAGATTAAGTGTTCTTATGTAACATTCTTAAAAATATATCATTTGTCTTGTTCTGTAACAGTTGGTTTTCTTTCAGATCGTTTCATTTTATAAACAAGAATGACATTTGTGATATAATTATTCAATTACTCACCTGGAACAATTAAACATTTTGGAAATTTGCTAATTAGATAATCCACAATCTTGGTAAGTCTCTATTTGAACCTATTCCATGTAATTTTAAACTTTTACCATGTGGCATTGTACTAACTTTTGAAAGAGATCTTTAAAAACTGTGTAATTAAATAAAGTGTTGGATACTGCTATGTTATCAGAAAGTCAAGCTTGCTTGACATAACATTAAGTGTTAGATATTGACTGGCTTTATAATTATTTTCATCCATTTATGATATATTTCACTAAAATGAAATCTTCAATAAATAATTTTGAAAACTGGATACTTGTTCTTTATAAATGATAGAACAGTTATTTCTTTTATTACTAAATTAAAGTCATTACTTTTTTAACATATGCAAATTATTGTAGGTGACTTTACTTAATTATTTCCAGCACTATAGCAATAAAAATAATTTGATTATTTTCAAAAACAAAAAGAATCTGCAATAAGAAATGCCAATAGAACAAAATGTTCATTAATAATTTGAATGAATCACAGTTTAAAAATTTAAATAAAATAACACCTTGTTACAGAAAAATAAAAATCATCACAGTTCAAGTATATTAAACAAATTCTCAATTTAATTCATGATATGAATTACTACTAATATTAGTAAATACCTTTCGTAGCATTGAAAAGCCTTCATCATCATATATTCTTACTGGATATGTTATAGCTGAAACTTTACTTAATTCATCAGTCCAACTTACCTATTAAAAATGTATTAAAATATTATTGCTTAAAAAACAAAGTAATTGTACAAAATGAAATCATATCTTAAAAAAATCCTTTCAATTATTATAACATAAGATATTTTACAGCATTAAATTGATGGAATTATAATAATTTTCTTCATGTAATCAGCAAAAATTGCTATAACATATCATTTGTACAGTCTTTCAACTTGACTTCAAAACACAGATAACTCTCAGATTACATAGAGGAAATTATAGTATTGGGTTATTCGGAAAGTAAGTTTGTTTGTTTTTTTACCACTAGACGGATTAGTTGTATTTTTCCCACCATTTTCATTCTAAACTGTATTATTATTATATATTTCGACAGCATGCATTTTAAGGCTTATTTGTAAAAAATTTTGTTTGATTTTGTGCATTGTTTATTTTTTGTGTCCCATCAAATATGGAAAATCGAAAGCTGCATTTTCAACATATTTTGCTCTTTTATTATCAAAAGGTAAGAATGCTGTTCAAGCAAAAAAAAAATTTGTGTGACGTGTATGGAGAAGATGTATTAACAGAACGACAGTGCCAAAACTGGTTTACAAAATTTCATTCTGGCAATTTCAATATTGAAGATGCACCACGTTCTGGATGGCCAGTTGAAGCCAATGAAAACAAAATAAAGGTACTGATTGCCAAATAACAACACGTGAAATCACTAAGAGATTAAATTTGTCAAATTGAACTGTTTATGATTACTTGAAACAAATTAGTTTCATTTCATTCAAAGCTTGATATATGGGTTCCACATGTTCTTAAAGAGATATGCTCTCTTTGGTGGGATTTTAAGAAAATTTTTTTTTTGGAGCTTTTACCAGACAATTTAACAATTGATTCAAAATTGATTTGTTTTCTGAAACCGTGTTTTAGTATTTATTGACTGTTGAACACAAGATTGTGTTATTAATTAAAGTGCACTGCCATCGAGTAAACAAATTGAGTAAAATCATCAAACAGAAAAGGCGGCCAGAATTGATCAACAAAACAGGTGTAGTATTTTACCACGATAATGTCAAATTTCACACAAGTTTGGTAACTCGTCAGAAACTGTTATAACTTAGATGGGACATGCTATCACACCAACCATATTCGCCAGATCGAGCACACTCAGATTATTACTTGTTTTGGTCCATACAAATTTTTTTAACTGTAAGACATTTACTTGAAATGACAATGTCAAAAATCACTTGAATCAGTTTTTTGTAAGCAACGATCAAAACTTTTATGAATGTGAAATCATGCTACTACCAGAAACGATGACAACAGGTTGAATTATATATTGACCAAAATGGTCAATATATAATTCAATAAAATATTTATTATAAAAATATTGTCTTTTTTTCACGGGGAAAAAAAAAAACAAAATTACTTTCCGAACAACCCAATACTTTCTCAAAATTAAACAGGAAAATATTTAAATTAACAAATTCAAATGCACCATATTTTACCTGATATTTATTATTATCCATAGATTTCATAACAGGTAAGGCTTTTCCATTAATATCAGCATAAAGTGTCATATCCTAAAAAAAGTAATTTATTCATTTAGTTATTAAGCACAATAATATATTATTACTAGCTGCAAGGACCCGCTTCGCTGGGTTTTTATTTGTGGGCAAAAAGTAACGATAGTGAAGATTAAGATAATTACATTATAGCCAATCTTACCCGTTTTCACAGAATGCAAGAATTAGGTCCCCCGTTTCCAGACTAATTAGAGAATTTTTACATCCAGTCAGATGAACTATTTTCAATTTGATCAATTTTCATGAACGTTTACAATCGTTCTATAATCGAACCAATTTGAATTTAAAACGGTTCGAAAATTTTTAAAATCGAAATAGAAAATCTTCCACTTTCAAGCCCATATCTCCTGCATCCTTATAGCTATCGAGATGCAACCACCGTAGTGCACGAATGGAGACTTGGGGCTACTACCACATACAAACACCATTCATGTGCGATGTGTAGTTTTGGCTGAAAAGTGAAATATAGGGACACACACGTCCATTTTTATATATATATATATATAGATAGATAGATATATATTATTAGATAAAAAAGATCTACAGAAAACTCTACATTCTTTCTGTATTCTGTAAAATACTTCAAAATACTGGAAGTCCTTTCTTAAAGCTCCTAAAGTTTTAACATTTTCTTAAATAAAAACCAACTTGCAAGAAATAAACTATATACACATTAAGAATTAAATTTAAAATAAGGTATTATGGTGATGCTCAAAATGATACAACTGCATTCAGTAATGAAAGAAGAAATATTAATAGAGTAAGTATACTAATTACATTATCTGTTTCATTCAGTTAAAAAATAACTGATTTTTTAAATAGCTATAATTGTGGTAAAATTGCAACTCTGAATTAAGCAGTTCATATCTTATTAGAGCTGTAGACCAAGGATGGGCAACCTTTTTTATGTATGGACCACATTTAAAACTTTTGAACTGACATGCTACATTAATTTGAACAGCAGCAAATGCAGACCAACTCAAAGTACTAGAGGCACTTGAGATTTTTAAAGCAGAGAAACAGGGATAATGTATAAACTTTAAGAGAGGTGCAATTTCACAAGCATGGCAGGCCCTCTTTGATACGTCATTACGTAACTTCTATATAAGAGGCATTTATGTCATTATGAAAAATGCTTTTACACTTGCATCCTATTGGTTGATTCTGAAAGATTTAAATTTGAATTTATGTGTGGGCTCTTCTGTGTTTGACATATTATAACATCCAGTGCCATGTTACATGATACAGAGGGGCAGCTGCATCAGGTGGAACTGTAAGGGGGTGGCATAAGCAGCGTTACAGTGGCTAGAAAATATAGTGTCGAAAGCGCTTATATTCCTCCATTATAACCGTTCGGTCCATACATCGAGGTTAGTGACGTNAGATATATATTATTAGATAAAAAAGATCTACAGAAAACTCTACATTCTTTCTGTATTCTGTAAAATACTTCAAAATACTGGAAGTCCTTTCTTAAAGCTCCTAAAGTTTTAACATTTTCTTAAATAAAAACCAACTTGCAAGAAATAAACTATATACACATTAAGAATTAAATTTAAAATAAGGTATTATGGTGATGCTCAAAATGATACAACTGCATTCAGTAATGAAAGAAGAAATATTAATAGAGTAAGTATACTAATTACATTATCTGTTTCATTCAGTTAAAAAATAACTGATTTTTTAAATAGCTATAATTGTGGTAAAATTGCAACTCTGAATTAAGCAGTTCATATCTTATTAGAGCTGTAGACCAAGGATGGGCAACCTTTTTTATGTATGGACCACATTTAAAACTTTTGAACTGACATGCTACATTAATTTGAACAGCAGCAAATGCAGACCAACTCAAAGTACTAGAGGCACTTGAGATTTTTAAAGCAGAGAAACAGGGATAATGTATAAACTTTAAGAGAGGTGCAATTTCACAAGCATGGCAGGCCCTCTTTGATACGTCATTACGTAACTTCTATATAAGAGGCATTTATGTCATTATGAAAAATGCTTTTACACTTGCATCCTATTGGTTGATTCTGAAAGATTTAAATTTGAATTTATGTGTGGGCTCTTCTGTGTTTGACATATTATAACATCCAGTGCCATGTTACATGATACAGAGGGGCAGCTGCATCAGGTGGAACTGTAAGGGGGTGGCATAAGCAGCGTTACAGTGGCTAGAAAATATAGTGTCGAAAGCGCTTATATTCCTCCATTATAACCGTTCGGTCCATACATCGAGGTTAGTGACGTCACAGACAAGGTGGCGCTGATGTCAATCGTAGTGCTACTTTCGCTTTGGCTACGTGATATCCTTTCTTACAAGAACATCGAAAGCGATTAAATTTGTGCTTGTAAAGTGAATAAATCCTTAGGAAATGGCTGAACAGAAACTTTACTGACTTGTGTATTTCTAATTTATAGATATTACTCTACTGTAATTTTTAATTCTTTTATTTTTGTCGAAAAGGGTGAGAAATCTACATGCATATTAATCTGTAATTTTTTAAGAGAGATTTTTCAAATATAAAGTGTATATGCATGGGTACTTGGCAGTAGACTAATAATCGTTTATTTGTACATACTTAATTTTGTAATTTTATATTGGGACAATAAAGTAACATTCTGCCTTTATATTTTATATACTGTGTAGAATTTAATTGTAATTTTAATATTGCTTTATACTATGTCACATAATACTGTGAACAGTATACAGTATTATGTAACTGATGGCATTTGCTTAATAAATTCTATTTTAGGCCCTCACAGTGGAAGAGGTTCACAAAGCCATATAAAACTTACATTTTATTATTAAAAATATGATAAATTCTGTATTTTTTTAGTAAATATGAATAAACCTTGTTGTTAATAAGGTAATAACAAGAGTAGATTACTCTTGTACTCTAAATAATACTTGTTTGTACAGCACTCAACAGCTGTAATGTAAAAATAGACAATACAGTGTAGGCTATTTGATTTAATAAGAATCTTAATTAGCTTTAATAAAATGAATTCCTTCATAAATGTTAATAAAGTAATACTATATAATAATTGATTGCTAGTGATATGATTTATTATCGATCTAAATTCTTTTACTTGGCTACAGCACATTTACTATGCTTAAAAATCCCACTTAAAACCAATATAAACATAGGATGATACAGCCAGTGTAGCACAACGATTGACAGCAGCGCCTCTTGCGGCAACCTCCAATATAGGGACAGAAAATAAGCTCGATTTTGACACTATATTTTCTAGCCACTGTAGCAGCATTAAGAGGCGGTATAAGCAGGCATTTTGAAGACTTGCATCATACTAAGAAAATCTACTGCATGGCCCTGAGAACATCAAAACTTTAGAAATTCTGTTTGAAATTTTTCATCTGAAGCAGGTCATAGACATAGACTGAAAATGTTCATTTTTCTGAAAAATCAGCTGGGTGAATATCAAGGTAGTCAGTTTTTACATTATAGTATAGCCCAGTTTCTGGAGAAGTTTTATTTTTTTAAACTGCCACAGGTCACATAAAAGAAAAAAAATTATGGTAAATCACAATTATTTATTCATGTATAATTATAAATTGACACATTAGTTACTGTCAGTTTTAAATTAGTTTGATGTGAGTCTGTTAGCCGATTTGTCTTACTTATTACTAAATTCATTGTGGAAAAAGCTGTTCACATACACAAGTTCAGAAAATAACAATAGAATTTTTGCAGAATACTTCTTTAAGGTAAGAAATTGATATATTTAATAATATTTTGTGTAATGCGGGCCACACAAAATATTAATGCAGACTGCATGTGACCCAGGAACAATAAGTCACGCACCCCTGGTGTAGACATGCCCAAAGGAATAAAAAAGTCAAAGTAACTGATTTACATGTAACCCTTTGCAAGATACAGCCCCCAAAATCAGTCTATAAATATGTAATAAACTTAATGGAGCACACAGCACAACTCCAGTCTTCCCTGGAAGTAGTCAGTGTAGTAGCATTTCTCATGTTTTGTGAGCTTTTAGCTATCTCTAATAAAATAGAAAACTGATTTTAGCATTGTCTTGAGAAATAGTTCTGGATTTTTTCACCATTTTTGAGGGTCTTCAAAATTCCAAGTAGGATATATCTTACAAAGGTCGGATGCATACCATCCTTTAAGGTTTTTTTTTTTTTATTCCTATGGGCATGGTCTACAACTCTAATAAGTCCCAAACCAAGTCATTTAGAGCTTCAATTTTATCATAATAATTCTGTAACTTAATAATTTCCCAAACAAAATGTAGACTATACGTTTAATTTATTTACAGAAAATGTTAAATTATTATTCTCACTTTTGCTCCAGATGGACAAGAAACAGTAAATTCGGCAATAAAAGCCACATCAGTTACAACAGTTCCATCAGTCGTCGTATATACTTTAGAGTTGAATGATGGATTTTCACATGTTTCACCTGTAATCATTTTAAATTGGGATTCATTAATTCGAAAAAGAAACAATATTTGCAGGATAATTATAGTACCTTTAATAATGCAATATTTAATACATTAAATCGACTTACTTTTAATATTTTCGAAAAGTAAAACGATTAAAATGAAGCTAACTATTGACTTAGCCATAATGCTAAAATGTATCAACGTGGATTTTGGACGAATTATCAAGCGCAGCAAGCGCCATCTATAAAATTATTCCATTTAGTAATTTTAATTTCATAATTGAAATTGTTTTTGATTATGATGCAATTAAATTTTCAACAATGATTAATTTTTAATTGTCAAAAAATTTATAATAAAAATTAATTTATACTTTAATAATCGTTTTTGAATTTTTGACTCTCAATCCTGTGAGCATTAAAATAGTCTTTCTCCAATAACCATCATGGGTTCAGCCAGGCCTACATATTAGGGCTAGATCGCCCAAAAAATTCTCGAGATTGCTCGCCCGAATTTAATCCTGGTATCCAGTGGCGTGCCGTCATTAGAAGCGGTGGATGCGCCGCTTCCCTTGTATTTTCTAAAAAATAAATACATACAGTAGAGCGTCGATTTTCCGAATCAATTGGGGACTGGGGTTGTCCGGATTTCTGATATTTCGGATAACTGATTTACGTACGAAAAAATAGTTTAACGTATCCGATGTCGAAATTTTTCTCCGCTTCGCGTTGAATTTTCGTCGATGTTAAGCCTAACGAAGACTATTGTATCGTTAAAAATTATTTTTTTATTTTGTACAAACAAAATAAATATATTGAAAAGTATAAAAATAATAAAAAATTATACTTCAGATGTTAATTTAGTATCAAAAACGTAAAATATTTGAGTAGCCCAAGACATAGCCAAAGATTGAAGCGCCACAGCACTGGCGAAAATTTAAATTTGCCGACTGGAATTCTTTCGGATGATTGACTTTCGGAAAATCGACGCTCTACTGTATTAATTTTAATTATACGAAAATAATCGCACAATATTTTATTATAACCGCATTATGTATCTTATTACAAATTTCTATACTACACGTGAAAAAAAGATAAGATCGCTATTGTACATTCGAATATTAGTGGCGGAGTAGAGGAGTTGAAACGCTGTATCGTCAGCATCCAAAAGCCAGATTCGCGCACGCGCTTTACAGAGCACCGACCTTACCCGGTTTAGCCGGGGGAAGCCTAGGACCTCGGGTGGCTGCTACACGCATCGAATTCTATCCGGGACCAGTTCCGGGCCGTTAGCCGCCCGCCCGCTAGATATTTGGCCGCCCCGCCCGATTACGCGAATCGCGAGTATATTTATAACTTAGGCCCTGTACACACTAGGCGTTTTTCAACGCGCGTTAAACGCGCGTTTTAAAGAACCAAGAGTTCTATGTAGCCGTACACACTCAAACGCCAAGCGCGCGTTAAACGCGCGTTTATAGATTTTTGTTAAAACGCACGTTTTGCGGGCACTTTACGGGCGCTTTGAGATATATGTGCTGCCTTATAGCGACGATGGAGGAGCACACACAATCAATTACTTTCTCGTCCATTTCCAAACTGAGCCAGTGCTAAACGCCGAACTAACGCTCGTCGAACGCCGAGCTAACGCGCGTTAGCTCGGCGTTAAACGCGCGTTGAAAAACGCCTAGTGTGTACAGGGCCTTAT